CCTGCCCTTCCTCTCCGCGGAACAACAGGAGGCCAGCCACTTTGAAGTATTATTAAATAAAGACATGAAAACTCTGGCGAAGGTTCTCCCTGCCCCGGTCTCCTTCTTTGCTCTTTTCTTTTTTTCCCTCCAAGCCTGACCGGAGCCAAAACAAAAAACCAAAACAAACCCCAAAACAAAACATAACAAAACAATCAACTAAACAAACAAACAAAAAACAACCCAAAGGAGAACAAAATTAGAAGAAATCCCAAAGCACTGGGGAGGAACTGCACTTCGGGGGGGAGGGGGCACCGTGCCCTGCAGGGTAGGACAATAGTTTTTGCTTGCTCTGCTGGTAAAATGCGGTTCTTTTCCCTGCCGTCTGGCTCGGGGGGAAATAAATTTTTTGAAAAAAAATAATGAAAAAAAAAAAAAGGAAAATAAAAAGAAAGGGAAATAACAAAAAAAAAAAAAAGGCCGTGCACAGTTTCCAGGCATATTTTACTGATTAAAAACAATCTTTCCTGCCTGTTGAATTTATGGCCGAGATAGCCAGATTACTAGAAACACTTACGTGTTTAATCTTTTCATGTTTTGAGCGGGAGAAGGTAGGGCAAGAGAATCGCCCAAGAAAAGCGCAGTGGAATTGCTTATTATTTTGGGGTCACTGTAAATTCTGCTATGGAAAATGTAATAAAGAAGCAGCTTAAACAAAGGTAGTGGCTGTGTGAAATCACAAAATTTCCATTGGGTGAAAACAAATCCTAACTTTATGTACATTTCCCTGGAGAGATGTAATGTGAATGCTTACAGCTGTTTTTAGTTTCTTATTCCCTGATTAGGTTTAAATTAAAGGAAGGATGTCATCGTGAATTATGAAGAATTACTTATTTTACATATTTTGGTTTATACATACCTTCTATTACAGTCTCGCTCTGGCACTTCCAAGGATGTATTGGACATGTGCATGCAAATACTATTAAAATAAACTGGCTACAGCGTAGTGGTTCTGACACAAAAATGCATACCTCTCCCACGTGTCCCTCCTGAGAACTTTCACTGGGAAGAGAACATTACCCCACCATACCCTTCCCCTGCCAGATGGGTCATTCTCTGCACAAGGAAGAGGAGTTGTGTCTTTGGGAAATCTTCTCTGCAGGACCCTCCACTCCAGGGATCCCGCTGAGGCACCAGCAGCACCAGACATCTCCCCCAACCCAGATCAGAGGGGATGGACACCCCAAGGCACACAGTGTTTCCAAGTCTGAGCAATACCTGGAGTGAGCCAAGCAGAGGGATGGAGAAAATGCTACAACTGGCTGTACCACTCCTAAATGCAGGCTCTTTACTTAATGTCTGCTTTCAGCAGGCATCCAGGCGAACCAGCAGCCCAGAAGTTTGAAATGCACTCTCCAGGGAGATTTATGTCTCTGTCTTCCAAAGGGAAGTGCTTTCTTGCTGGGGAAGATGGTATTGTATGACTTATCTAAGTAGTCACAGCCATGCAGCTTAGCTCAAGATGGTCATAAGTTTGGTTTCACCACAGATGAAAAGATTAGAATAGCTCAGTTTGAACAATTGGCACACTCACAGTTATGCAGATCAGTTTTAAAGTATTCAATGGGATGCTTCAATGGTTATTTGTATAGCAAATTATCACCTCCGCGGTTATTGTAAGACTTAAAGGATTAATTCCTGAAAACTACTCTGGTAAATATATATACACACAACATATATACATTTATTTATTTATTTATTGCTCACAGCCAAGGCTGCCGTAGCCCCTTCCTCGGGCCTGTCTGGAAGGAGCGGGGCTGCCTCTGCTGCCAACACCACCTGGACTTCAGTTCGGGGGTGCTGCTCTGTGCACTCCCGCTATCGGGGGTCGAAGGGGATCACCTCTGCGTTTCTTCCGAAGCCAGAGAGACTCCGAGGGGATGAATTAGGGGGAGCTCAGCCCCAGTATGCTTCTCGCCGGCCAGGGTAGACCCCTCAGGGGCGGGAGGACCAGGGAGCTGGGGTCGCTGCCCTTAGGCAGGGATGCCCGTGCGACCCCGTCTCCGGGAGGGGATTTGGGCAGCTGGTGACTGGCAAGATTTGGCAGCACGCGCGGGGCTCTGGAGAGGGCCCCCAGGTTGTTTTTCCTGTTGCGGCC